TGTTTACTGCTGATAATAATAATGGCTTTATTTTTAAATTAAATTGAGGGTGGCACTAAATAGTGTACTACACTATTAAACTTGTGGCCCTCAATATAAAACTACTAATATTTACAAATTTAAAAATATATAATGTAATAACAACTATCAATACGAAAATATTAACACGACAATATGGAAAACTTCTATTTGCACATAATCTTGCTTTAATCCTTTATATTAAATTTCGTGTTCATCATCTTAAATCAACAACTCTTGTCTCAAAATGTTTTTTTTCTCAGGAGAAAAATTTGCTTGAAGGAAAAAATTAACATATTCAACTAGTTGTTGTCTTGTCTTGACTTTTTGATTTTGAAAATGACTTCCAGCAAAGTAAACATGTGAGAAACATGAAACATGGTATAAAGACAGTATTAATTACAAGCAGTCAAGGTCAAATGTACTAATACAGCATAACAATTGGATTATCGTACAAAACAGCACCAATAATTTGAAGTTGATTGGATTGATGTAATGTGCTGATAATGTGACTAAAGACCCCTATCAGTCCATGTTTATACAGTAATATCAAACCTTAGCATCCAGAAACTAATTAACTGTTCAAGTACTACATATTTACAATCACAACACCATGGTTTTCACTTAGTGATTTGTCTGTCTTCAAGTTCTTACATTACAAGCAAGTCAACACAGATGGATTTCAACACTCATATTATATACTTCAAAACTCAAAGGCTTAAATACTAAAGAATGTGAACCTATGAGCAGAAATACATAAATAAGGTAATTTTTGCTTCAAAAATTATCAAGAAAAGTATAGGGATTTTAAAATTTCAAATTTTTGGGCCAGTCTTCAACTAAGTGCAATACAGTAATCATTTCTGATGAGGTAGCAAGTCTTAGGTAAGATTTTAAGGCATGATTATTATTATTAAGATCTAATTGCAACATCACTCTACAATACAAGATATTATTATTATTATTTTTCTTAATACATCATCTTGATTATAAGGGCTATGTATTAATATTATACGAGATACCAGATTAAGAAACTGCATTACATTTCAAATAGTCCAGAAAGAGAATGAATGATCAGCAATATGACAAAATCTGTACAAACATGTACAGATAAATAAAGTGCTTGTACATACCATGATCTGGTTTATGTACTACATGAATACAGATCATCAATTCAAAATCCTGCTTCAATGATATACAAGACTGGATGCACATGTAAGAGTTTCTTGAATAGTGATGTTCCTCCATTGAACACTCAATACTATGTGATCATACTTTACACTTTGATTAAAGAGTGTAGTCTTAAATCAGCCATAAGAACAGGCACTTCGAATGTCTCATTGTTAGTCAATGTAGAGTATATAACTTCAAGCAATGATCTTGCCAAACTGTGAGAGTGAACTGAATTCATTGAAGGACACAGAACTGTATTTAGAATCTTAGAATAAATGAAACACAATACTCTAGTAGTCTTATCAATATTTTATATCCATGAACATATGAACTGAGGACAAGATTAGACAAAGATCCTCTACTATGGTGTTTTAACGCAAGCCATTTAGAGCTTGTATAAGTTTGCACATGATCATGTATCACTGGGAGAGGTTGTGCCTCTTCTTGTCCATAATAGACAAAATTACTTTAACAGATGAGAGGATAATTGAACATTATATCCTTGTTGAAGTATTAACCTCTTAACACCTCTAATACTTGAGTGGTGAAAGGGAGGGAAAATATCAATATCAATAGCATGTGCAGTCAGAATTATACCTGTTGATATATGATATTAAGAAATAAATAAAAATAATAATAAAGAAATTATTTATTGAATTATTAATTATCAATTAATTATATATTCATTAATAATTAATTAATACCCAATAGACCTTTATCACGCAGCAGCCATGTTTCTACGCGTTCCAACTCATCCCGAGGTGCTTCAATGCAAGTCTAGATGGGCAAGAATCTATTGTTAAGGCCAACATGGCTGCCGCATGAYGAGGGTCTATGACTAACAAACCCTTGGCCCTGATTGATCTATGAATGAAGACCAACTGTTTTATTTAAGTCTACCAGCATGGTGGACATGACACCACAGGTATCCCAACACTTGCTTAGTACCTAAGTGGCATGGCTGTTGTAGTGGTTTGCCACTCGTCTCTCACCGCTGTCATCAGGGTTTGAGCCCTGGCTCAGACTGGATCATATGTGAGTTGAGTTTGTTTGATGTGTTGTTCTCTCCCTTGCCACGAGGGTTTTCTCCGGGTTCTCCGGTTTACTCCCTTCGTAAAAATCATCATGTGAGTTGAGTGTTGTATGTTGTAAATATAGAATGTAGTTGCAGTGGCTGTGGAGGGAACCCCACAGAAGAGCCCATACGGGGAGTGGTGGTGGTAAAATAATATATATGTACCTCCTTGGGGTTCTTTATCTTCATGGTCCTCCTCTGTCTGCTGAGGGGTCCTACTCTCTTCTATACTTCTGTACTCCTTCCAGAATTCATCTAACTGGTCTATCCCAGGTATCGGGCGACTCTTGACCCTTACAGCCATCTGGTACTACATCTAGGACCACTAAATAAAATGAATATTAAATAAATAAATAAATGACCGAAAAAGCGAATGAATAAAGACACATATATCAGAATGAACAAAAATTTGAGTTTGATAAAATGATAAATGAATGAATAAATGATTGATAGAATAAATGGATGGATGGATGCATGGATGGATGGATGGAGAAATTAATGAGAAAATATCCCACTTTAGAAAAATAAGATTACGACTTTAGAAAAGTAAAATTACTGTGCAACAATTCATTGCTGAGGAAAAAATAGGAATAAAAATGCATTTTTAAAATTTCAGATTCCTGAATAAAATATATTAAATAATAAACTGTTATTGACAAATAGTATTGAGAAAATGTAAGGATAAATCAAATAATTTTTTACTGTATTTTCTATTTTTCCGAAATATGTTAATAATAATAATTATACATATAAACAATTGTTGAATGAGGTAGGCTGAGGCCAATAACATATCCGTATATCATCAAAAGCGAATTCAATTTAATCGTTTTATTATATATAATTCAAATAGATGAACTTTTAATACAAAGATAAAAAATTTTATAATTAACTTTATCTTTGAGTTTCGAAAAAATACATCTTTAAAATATTTAAAAAAAAACCTACATACAACCGCCATCCACTGACTTATGCAGGGTCATTTTTGCAAATAACTGGCCACAATTTTAACTATCTAAAACAGTCTTAACTATTTAAAACTATTGACTGCTGAAAACTCGCTGATGCATTGTTGGTAGAATTATCTGTAGGTTCTTGACCAATGAGAATGCAGATCGTGAGTACAATGTATAATCATAGTAATTCCATGAGTCTAGAAAATATGGTCCGCACTAAAAGTAGATTTATAATTGTACAAACTACAAACAGTTATAAAATTGTGTAAAAACATCACAAGTATCTATATTAAAATTCCGAATTGAATGAGAAGATTGTACAATTTTTTGTTTAAAATACACTCAACAAAATTGAGCAACTTAATTTGGGATTTAATTGTACTCCTCCTGTCCAATCAGAAACCAGTAATTTTGTTGAGTGTATTATAAGTACATAAACGTGTATGTGTTTCATTTCAACGTACATCTCTCATGCTAAAGCTCTTATTGACACCACACTGATAAGTTATTTACTTTAAGGATTTCTTTAGCTTTATGAGGTTATCTTCTTCAATGGTTTTCTAGATCCTTTAGCAAAGCTGTCTAAATACCTGTCAGATAAGATACACGTAATTCAAAAATGTTGTTGGCCGGAGATCTGAAATCTGAAACCTAGTAACAACCTGCAAAAAATAGTGATGTATTCACAGGAGAACAACGTAGCTTCCTTTTAGATTGGACTTAGAAATGTGATTTTTTTGTCTTTGAGCCAGAAAACATAATAAGCAAAAAATCCTGTTTAATCTCAGATAGCCCATTTCACATCTTGGGCCGACGTTTTTTTGTTGTTGAAATAGTTGTATACTTCAATTAATATCTACAATGTACAAATCAGAAGAGGATGAACTCTACAGCTTTTGGACAATAGAAAATTATGTTTAGAACATTAAAACTTTGATGAATTGGTTCAATAATTAAGCCTTTATTGAATTAGTTTCTTCTGTGTTTCTTGATTACAGCCTCATTTCCTCAGGATTTAAAACCTGATTTCAGCATCAACATTTTAATTTTCACAAATACCAAGGTTGCTAAAGTAAATAATGCACAGCTTTAACAATACATGTCATTTTGAAATTCCGTGGACATTTAATGGAACATGCGAATATTCTACACAAAACTGAGGCTACCATGAGCACCACAGAATCATGGAAACTGTAGTATAATGGCAAGAATTACTAATAGGTCATTTGTGGACCTAAACCAGCAATATCTGACATCTCAGGTTTTCCAAGTAACCCAGGCACTAATTAAATCTTAATGAATGTGTACACAAGATATGTCAACTTTAATCATTAATGACTGATCCCTCCTAAAGCTAAATAAATAATTACCAACTTGAAGAATCTACTGCTGCAAATGTAAGGGATGAACCATTGATGGGGGGGTTGCAGAAACCTTGCAATGATATTTATTTTTTTGGCTCAACCCTTCTCGCATGTTATTTTTTTGTGTACAGTTAGATATTTTTCTTCTAGCAGAAGAGTTGCACGTTTTTTTTTTGAGGTTTAAGTACTTGCTAGATGTTTTTTGGGGGATTTACACAACCCCCCGCCCCCCCCCCCCCTCCATCAACTATCTAATGGTCCGTCCCTAAGTTGCACCAAGTCACTTGGAACTTTAATACGTCTTATAGAGGTATAAATAATTAAAACAAAAACTCTCTTTGGGACTTTGACAACTGGCTACTATAAAAAGAAGTTGACTGCTTGACAGAGATATTTTATATATAGGGTTTTCATTAAGAGTTAAGAGTCAGTGACTGGAGAATGCATGGAAGCAGAGCAAAATTCTCTAGGTTAGACTATTATAAATGGCTTGGTAATTTGTAAAATGTTAACTTGGTGCTAGGATTCTGTGGCAGTTCATAATCTTCTCCTATTATTTCAAAACTTACATCCATTCCAAATTACACACACCACTCTAGCATTTGTTTTTGTCGCGACGAAGAAGCTTTTGGTGGACGTCAATCAAGGCGTTTTCATGACATTCTATAGGCACGTGGCCTTATAGCTTCGTGTTTTACGACAATGTTATGGAAACGCCTTGTGATCGACGTCCACCAAAACCTTCGCAGCAGAAACAATCGCTAGAGGGTGCATATGATTGAGAATAAATGGCCGTAATGAAGTACTGCAATTGCGTCACAGATCACCAATAACAAAAATATATTTTTAAAAGATATTTTGTTCACTTGTTTCTTTGATTAACGTTTCAACCCTGCTTCGTTGGTCTTATTAAGGATCAGACATACAATAAAAATATAAATCATTAATGTTGCCCAATATTGGGTGATAAGAGGCCTATTTTCGGTGGAGCTTTCAGAAGTTTACAGTAATGGTAAAGTAAAGATAACAATCACCTAATTAGTAGATTCTTACTAACAATATAAATACCATAATCAGATAATTTGCTGGGCCATTAGATAAAAACATTGATCGGGGTTGCATAAAAATATAGAGAAAGCACGCACTTCACCCTTGAAAAAACTATTTACAGCCCCTCATTTCAGAAAAAAATATCAAGCAAAAAAATATGTGCAAGGAATACTTGAAAAATAAAGAACGTGAAATACAACTTCATGAACCTCCTCCCCCATCAACTATCTAATGGTCCATCCCTAAGCAAAATATTTTCAGAAAGTCAAACTTTCCAGTGATTCTTAGAATATAATATTAGCAATTGCTTTTAATGAATTTAATATAACAAAGTTGTCAGTCTGTAGACAGTAAGCTAAAATATTGACTCCAAGAGCAATGATATTGATATTACCAATTGAAGTAACCCATTAGTGGATTTATTGTTTAATGATTTATCTTTAGACCTTGTCTGTATACATCTTTTATTAGGTTATTGGAAACTAAAACAGTTATAGCTCAGCTCTAAATTCAAACACAGAATAGCAGCCAACTCAAAAGCTTCTGCTAATTTGGTTGCTAAACATATACCACAATTTTTATCCTTGACTTTTGTATTGTCACTATTGGATTAATATTGCTTTTTGTATTCATGTACTGTGCAATAAAGTAAATCTTGAAGGCGCTTTCCATTTGATGAAAATAATTTTAAGATTTGTAACATGAATATATATAGTAATAATAAATCTGTACAAAATGTCAATCACAATAATAATTATAAAATAATGACTTGAATAATAATAATTATGTTGATAAATAGATTATGCAGGACAATGTCAGCTTACTGATATGTGGATATCTAATCTTTCTAATATATCTAGTGTCAATTTTGACTAAAATTATTGATTCAAACTATTGATAATAACTTCAGAACATGACATAGTGTCTTTTATTTTTACAACAGTTAACTTTAAACTAAGCACTACCACTACATTCTATATTTACAATTATAAAACACACGGCTCATATATTGATTTTTTATGGAGGGAGAAAAACCCTTGTGGCAAGGGAGAGAACCCTTCAAATTAAACTCAACTCACGTATGATCTAGTCCGAGCCGTCTGAGCCGGGTCTCAAAACCAGACCTCTTAAGTTGAGAGGCAAGCAAAAACCACTACCCCACCCATGTCACCCACACATGCCACCCTCTTCTGATACTTGCATACATGAATATTTCATACACAGACATGCCCAATTTGGGTTTCTTGGGCAATATTACAACATGCTGCAACTACACGTTTTATCCGTAATCTTACATTTAATTAATCATGTCTGAACGTGAAAGCCGCAAATATGTACTAACTACAACATAAATATAAACTAAAAGCATACTATACATTCATTCTAATGAGCTTGGGCATATTTTTATACCTCTATTAGTTTAAATCATTAACAACAGGAAGAATTGTTTGTAAATTATGAGTGAATTGTTAAGAGAGTTTTAAAGTGCAAATGAACCCTTTGACAATACATTCAGTACTGGTTCTGCATAAAGTAAATAGTTGATTGGTAAAATATTTCTTGATTTAAGTGATGCGTCTCTAAGTTATGAAGGTTTATACTTCCAATATGTAAATGATGGTGACGTCAGGTAAGGTATTTGAGTGTTTTTGTTGTAACTAGTAATACTAAATGCTGGCCATTTTGAAAATAAAAATTTTAAATAGCTTTCATGTAAACCATGAGTAAAATAATGATGCTTTTTAAATACTGTATCTATGAACCAGTTCGATTTTGTATATTTAATTAAGCCTTAATAGACGTCACGCTCATTAGCATATTGAAAGTATAAACCTTCATAACTTAGAAACGCATCACTCAAATCAAGAAATATTTTACCATTCAACTATTTACTTCATGTAGAATCAGTACTGAAAGTATTGTCGAAGGGTTCATATGCACTTTAAGTATTGCAAGTAAAGGTAGCGGCAGAATATGAGTGTTCTGTATAATGTACTTAAACACTAGCCTCTGGCTATTGAGACTTGGCAAAGACTTCCCCTATCATTGAACATAATAAAAAATTTATTTTCATCTTTTTAGCAGTACTCATAGCTAAACAAGGATAAGTCTAAGTTCAGTAACCAAATTATGATGAATATAATGACTAACTAGTTAACAACTACGTAATAAAGGGTTGGGTAGTATTGAATGGTGGTGCAGTGGTAAGAATGCACTTGTAAGAATGCACTTGTCTGTTGGTTGCAGGTTTGATTCTTTGACCATGCATGAGTAGATTTTGTTAGGTCTCTCCCTTCATTTGATATTTTTTAAGGATCGCTGGCTTTCATCGGTCTTCAAAATCCATCAATCTAAATTTCAATTAAACCTCCAAGTTACTATAGCCTTGGCCTGATAATGTTTAAAGCTTATATTCTTAATAGTGACTAAAACATGGAAACAACTATATTGAAATAAAGAATGTCTATCCTCTACAGAACTAGTACCATATAGTATTGATTCGATAGAACGTACAAAAAAAGAAAGAAACTATACCCAAGAATACTTGTTTTTGGATCATCCTATCTTAAAGTAATTATTTTATAGTCAAATATTAGTTGCTCCTACCTTGTTGAGAACAATCTAGAGATATTTCATAAGTAATAAGTACTAAAGTACGGCAAGAAACAAATAAAAAGAAATATTTGGAATAATGTCATGGTATGCTGGTTCTTTAACTTTCTTTAACTTTTAGCGAGAGATAAAAAGACTCACCCTGTTAGATTGTTAACAAAAGAGTATCCCTAGTTCCCACGAACGACAATACACCTTACTTCAAGGTTACTTACAAAATGACAAACAAGTGCCATACCAACCAAGTTAGTAATGAAAATCTTTGACATAACTGACACAAATACCTTGATMGGTAGGTCACCTAACATGCACTCTATGAGAATACATAGTGACATCAAAAATCGGATTCCAACTGATAAGAATCTTAGAATCTTTACGAGACCATGCTGTTTTCCATTCAAGCAAAACTTGTAGCTTTTATATTTAAATAGTTTTAATAGACAAGAATTTTCTAGGTATAATCATGATTATAAGAACTGAACTAATAAATGAATACACTTTTTGGGGTTTTAATTATATAGACATTCAAATTATCGAGGTCATCATTTGTAGGGCATTTAAGATTATTTTTAAGGGGAAACCTGAAGTATATATTGGTTTGTTGACATTCCTTCCAATTTGGTTTTGCAAATGAAAACATAGGTAATTAAGCAAAATATATAGACAAAATGTAAATTTAAGAAAGACCTTCAAGTTAAACATATTCATGATACGAGCTGTGGTTATTAAATTTATTGGTATAATTCGTTAAAAGTCTATAAATATAAGCTCTACTTCAGGACATGAAAAAACGTATCCGATTCGTGAAAACAAATGAGTCGTAAAATCTGCGAAGTATTCAAGAGGTTTTTCAGAAATTATCAAGTCGATTTGACTTTATGACACTCATTTAGGAAGATGAATTAAGGACCGTTCGTTGGTTGTAGATTAGAAGGAATAATTTTTATTGGAAAAAGAGCTTAAAAACGCGGGAACGAAAGTAAACAGAATCGATTTTTATTCCTTTAAGTAAACTTACGAATCTTTGGTCAAATATACAAATTAAGTTTACCAATTGTGGTAGTATGGAATAAGGACGATATTGGTAGAGATTCACGGTCTAAAAGCCGTGGACAAGCGATGAATTATGGTCTATAAAATCTGTAGTAAAATAAATTTGGATAAAAACCTTTATTAAGACCACAAAACCGCAAGCTGCGAATGAAATTTAACGACCAAAAATAATCAGAATTTATTCTAGAACGCGCCAAAAAAATAAGTTAACTTCCAACACTTTATGAAATTAAGAATAACTATATAATACCTTGAAATACTTTAAATATATTGTAACCCAATGGTGAATTTTTTAGGGAAAACTTTAGAGGAAAGTTTGAAAACATTTCATGATGTTTTCAGTGAAAACTGTGTTCAAATCTCGACGGGACTCCAACTATATTAATATGCTTTTAAAAACTTATTTCCAATTCGTGGAGGCTTGAGTCTGATATTTAATACTATCTTGGCAAAGAATAACTTTCTTTTTTAAAATGAAGTTTAAATTTTTGGAGAGAAAGATGAGCAAAACCTGGAAAACAAATTTTGGATTCGAGTCCAAGTTTAAGATGATTTAGTTTAGCGTATTTTAATCGTTAGTAAATTTCGTATTTCGGTTTAACAGACGAGAATGAGATAGTTAATATCGATTAATAAGATATTTTCTGAGCCTCGGGCAGATTTTTAAAAAGCAGAAGATGATAAAAAGACCAAGCGGTTTATAAGCACTTTTTCTACAAACTCAATGTTGACAAACAAGTCGAAACGGAGCCAAAATAAGGCATATTTACCTGTAAAATGTCGCCGTTTGTAGGCCTAGGCAGCCGTATGATGTATTCCACAGTATTTAGATGTGTTTAAATTCAGGTAAAGACGATTTCATGGTCGTTTTTTTCTCTCTTGTTAGAGTTTGTTTTCCAGCTCAAGTCGGGCAATCACTGTGATCCAAGCAAACATGGCTAGTCACGTGATCTTATATATAAACTCATTGGGGAGGGGAGGGGTGTTATGCTCCCGGCCGCAAAAATACAGAAGCTATAGCTACTTGAAACTTCGGCAATAAGCTTTTCCCAGACGTGCTTTTATATAAGTAAACCAGAAAAAGCATCCCCATATCTGAAAAGAGCGTGCTAAAATTAGTATCAATATTTAGTTTGAAGGACATAAATTTAAAACGTTTTCATCAAACGAATTGAATGTTTTCATACAAAATTTCGATATTTTTGGAAAATTCACTTGTCTTTGCTATAGTTTTAAAGTTACTTCTTTTTCGAACTTCACTCTTTTAGACACTCTGTTATTTACTAATTTTAACATAGCTCTTCTCAGCTATTGATAGTTATTCTTCTGTCCCGGTTAGTTTAATAGAATTGCATTGAAAAGCTTCCTTGATCTACATGATACTAGGGAATTAGCTCTATTTTGAATACGGAATGAGGGATTTATTTATTTTCAGACGATGATAAAATAATTCACATTTTAGCCCTTAACTGAATAGAAAAAATTGACAATAGCTCAAGAATCGATTACTAGGAACCCCAGGACGTGGTAATGCATTGTTAAGTATGTAAAAATAAAGCTCTGGATATCCTGGATGTCAGAATAAGGAAAATAATTAACTTCCGTTTTTTAAACAGCGGGTAACGTCCCTAGCAAGGTCCTTCGTGAAATCGTAGCAAACTGATATTCATCAGGGCAAATAAATGTTTAAAAGCAAGAGAATATTAACTCGTATTTACTTGTTAAAAGCTAATACGGAACCTATAATTATGTATTATAACGTTTTAGGCTATCAGGACCCCCCGGAGGGGTGGGGTGTACTCGACCCCGAGTAAGAATGTGCCGCCAAAGGTATAAAGACCCTGAACCTATTCAAGAAAAGAAACTATACCCTGGCTATAATTGTATAGGCACGCATCTCACTCAGTGAATATAGGAGTTTAGAAAACAAAGCCATCAAGGGTCTGATAAACTTTGCCAAGACCGAATAATGATGGAGGCGCTTTGTTGCCAAAGCTAGTACGTTTTTATTTTTTACAAAATAGTATCCAAGACACACAAAAATATGGAACTTACGACCTTGTGTGTCAAAATTAAAGATTCTGTTTAAGAAAATTTCCTGTAAAATGTATACCCTGTGTAAGACAGCAAGGCCAAAAACCATACCCTATCCAGCTACACATACCCGTATACAAAATATATGCGAGCACCCCCTTCCCCCCCTCCCCCTTTTTCCCGGGGTCAGGACGCGTAAAACCAATGTGAACTAAAACTATAAGCGGTTGCTAAATTAAACTTTTTTAAACAGGGCGTTCAAGTAATTCGCAGCATGTCGCAGACTTGACAAAAAGTGAAAAGGCGGAACCTGCGAAACAAACCCAGAAAAAATTATTTTAATGCACCTATATGCAAAAAGACACTCCTATCCATTTAATATCATTGTTTATCGGCTACAATGTACATTGCATTTTTTTTTCTTATGAAGAGCCGATTTACTGATGACGTCACTTTAGCGACTGTATGAGCAAAGGGGTGGGTATGGGAGTACCCGATCTGCATGTATGAGCAAGGGGGTATTGGATGGGAGTACCCGATCTGCATGTATGAGCAAGGGGGTATTGGATGGGGGTACCCGATCTGCATGTATGAGCAAGGGGGTATTGGATGGGGGTACCCGATTTAAGTTAACTACTCATTTTTAGGCCAGTTGTCAGTTAGCTGTTAATATTTTCAAAAGCGCTGACCATGATATTGTTATCTTCTAATTTTAGGATATTTGTCAGATAACTACTAAATGTTTAGGCTAATTTGTCAGTTACCTGTCAAACCCCATCCGCACCCTCGGTTAGAACTAGACCCTCAATAACTACTAACGTTGCCGCGCTTTTCCAGAAAAGTAAGATGGCGGCGGAACGGAGAGCGGCATTAATTGAATGCGAGGTAAGCTTGGGAAAGCCAACGTGTCAATCAAATGTAATGTATTCCTAAAAWTAAAATGAATACCACCCCACAGAAAAATAAAAAGCTAGTTTATGTAGGTTCTGGCACTTTGACACTTACTGGCAATGTTGCTCATGACTGACAGACTGCTGGGCACGGATTAAAAGTGGAAGCCCTACATACGTTTTTAATTTTCGACGATTTCCCAACTAAAACGAATTGTAATCGATTTAAACTTACAGGAAAAAAACCTCGCAGAAAGAGTTTTAAGTAGGCATAAGATTCGGTTCACCCATCCAGGTACTAACTTCGCTCAACTGGACTTGGCTCAGTGTCATGGAAGCCCAAGTTTTGCCCACTTGACCACGGTTCCAGGTGAATCAGCATAACAATAGCCGTGAAAACAATGCCCCAGATAGACTAGAGTTTTTAAAGTATTTTTTTCAACCGATTCCATGCGTGGCAGAGATGCAAGGGATCAGCCGATATGGTCTGGGGGCCGGCTGGTCTCTCCCCTGATGCTTCGGCTAGAACATTTTCTTGCGTAATTCGTATACCCAAGGGCAGAAGGATTTAATCGCCGTCAGGTCCGAAGTCCATACGACGCCCCAGCTCTGCGGATGTCTCGGGGGTATGGCACAGTGGAATCGATTTTTTATTTATTTATTTTATTTTATTTTTTTTTAATTTAATTTTATTTTATTTTATTTTTTTTTTATTTCTTTCAATGGGTTCTAACCTCACCTCATCCAGATACGATTTTCTATTTTTTTTAAAGCATATTATCTTGAATAATGATTTATTCGCACATTGCATAAACTATGTTTTACATAAGGGCTAAACAGTAAAGACTAAATTTTTTTTTTTTTTTT